TGTTGGTTTTCGGCGTCCCTTTGGTTTTCGGCGTCCCTTTCAAGTTCGGCGACCCTTTGGTTTTTGGCGCTCTTTTGGGTTTCGGTGCCCTGTCGTTTCCGGCGCCCTGTTGGTGTTCGGCGCTGCTCTGGTTTTCGGCGCTCTTTTGGTATGTCTCTTTGGTTTTCGGTGCCCCGCTGGTTTTCGGAGCATTTTTTGGTTTTCGGCGCCTCTTTGCTTTTCGGCGTTCGTTCGGTGTTCGGCACCTTTTGGTTTTCGGCGCCCCTTTGCTGTTCGGCGCTCTTTTGGTTTTCGGCGCTCCTTTCGTTTTCGGCCACCTTTTGGTTGTCGGCGCGCTTTTGGTTTTTGGCGCTCCTTTGGTTTTCGGCGCTCCTCTGGTTTCGGTGCTCCTTTGGTTTTCGGTGCATCTTTGGTTTTCGGCGCCGCTTTGGTGTTTGCACCCTTTCGGTTTTCGGTGGCTCTTTGGTTTTCGGCGCTCTGTTGGTTCTCGGCGCTCTTTTGGTCTTCGGCGCTCCTTCCTTTAGCAAGAAGGGCCGCCCCTTTGGCCCAAAACAGGGGGAGGGGGGGGGGCTTCCGGCAGGGGCGGTTCAGAGGGGGCGGGGGGTAGCTAAGCCCCCCCCCCCTTTGGAAAGGGAGGGGGTGGGTAGCTTGCGGAGCGCGAAAGGAGGAGAGGGAGGGGTTAGCTTCAGAAGGGCGGACAAAAAAGAGAGGAAGGGGGGCTTCCGGCAGGGGAAGTTCAAGGAGGGGGGGGTGCTAATCCCTAGCTAAGCCCCCCGCCTCCTTTCTACGGGAAGGGGGGAGGGGGGTAGCGTCCAGAGCGCGAAAGGGAGGGGAGGGGGGGGGGGGGGGGGGGCAGCTTCCGAAGGATGGAGAAAATGGTGGGTGGGGGGCTCCTGGCAGGCTCAAAGGGGTGTGAGGTAGCTAACTTCCCCCTCCTTCGGAAAGGGAGGGGGGTAGCTTCTGGAGCGCGAAAGGAGGGGAGGGGGGGGGGGCTTCTGAGGGGCGGAACAAACAGGGGGGGCGGCTTCCGGCAGGGGAGGTTCAAGGGGGAGGGGTAGCTAAGCCCCCCGCCTCCTTTCTACGGCGCGAGGGGAGGGGGGTAGCTTCCGGAGCGCGAAAGGGAGGGGGGGGCAGCTTCAGAAGGATGGAGAAAATGGTGGGTGGGGGGCTCCTGGCAGGCTCAAAGGGGTGTGAGGTAGCTAACTTCCCCCTCCTTCGGAAAGGGAGGGGGGTAGCTTCTGGAGCGCGAAAGGAGGGGAGGGGGGGGGGGCTTCTGAGGGGCGGAACAAACAGGGGGGGCGGCTTCCGGCAGGGGAGGTTCAAGGGGGAGGGGTAGCTAAGCCCCCCGCCTCCTTTCTACGGCACCGGGGGAGGGGAGTAGCTTCTGGAGCGCGAAAGAGAGGGGGGGGCAGCTTCCGAAGGGTGGAGAAAATTGTGGGTGGGGGGCTCCTGGCAGGGAGGGGCTCAAAGGCGGGTGGGGTAGCTAACCTCCCCCTCCTTTGGAAAGGGAGGGGTAGCTTCCGGAGCGCGAAAAGGGGGGGGGGGCTTCTGAGGGGCGCAACAAGCAGGGGGGGCGGCTTCCGGCAAGGGAGGTCAAGAGGGTGGAGAGGGGCAGCTTCCGGAGCGTGAAAGGAAGGGGGTAGCCTCCGAGGAGCGAAAACATAGGAGCGGGAGGGGGCTTCCTGCAGGGCAGGTCCCGGGGGGGTAGCTGGGTAGCTCAGGGGGACCCCTCCTTTTTGGGAGTGTACCACGGGCGCGCTCTCTCCTAGCTGCTGAAAGCGACCATATCCCACGCCATTGGCACTGTGCATACAAACAGATTGTTCCTGATCTTTTGCCCTTGCCATGCCATCGCGCAGGCGGAGATGTGTCGTCACGCGCATGCAAGAGTAAAGGTGTATCCCAGTCCGGGCAAAAGCCCGTCCGAGTTTATGAGCTCGCACGCGCATGTGGATAGTGGCACGCATGGCCCGCGTGGTATCATCCGACAGAGAGGTACCCGCTCAGCACGCGCGCGTGGCCCGCGCCGTCTTATTTAGCAGAGATGGTGCCCCGTTAGTGTTCGCATGTGGCACGCCTTGTATAGTATCTAGTATATAATATTTGCACATACGCACATATCTATATATATATATACACATATATATATATATACACGTATAAATGGGAATGCCCGGGCCCCGGGCCGGAACCCCCCCTGTACAGGTAGTGGCCCCCTCCCGGGACGCCCCTCCAGCGGCCCCCGCGCGTTCCAGTCCGCCCAAGAAGGCTCCAACAGCGCCGAGAGAACTCCAGGATCGCTTCAAGACCGCCAAAGATCGCTTCCGGAAGGGCCAAGAGGTCCTCAAGAGGCCCCCCAAGAGCGCCCCCCCCGGGCGTCCTCCACCTCGCTCACATCTGGTGTACGCATCGCGCGTCCCAGCCTCCCGGGGAACCCCCAAAACGCCCAAGGACAACCCAGGACGACCCCAAGAAGCCCCCAGAACGTCAAAGAAAGGCCCAAGACGCTCCCAAGCAACCCAGGATAGGTTTCGGGCGGCGCTCCAGGCTCCCAGGAGGCCTCCAAGAGACCTCAAGAGAGCTCCGAGAGGCCTCCCGAGAGCGCCCGGAAAACCTAAAATTGTAAATGTTCATTTTTGTTTCCAGGGTTTTTGGCCTTCTCACCATTTCATGCTTCCAACGCTCCAAGACGGCCGAAGAGGCCCCCAAGACCGCCCAAGAGGCCCCCAAGACGGCCCCAAGACGGGCCAAGACGGCCCTAAGACTGCCGAAGAGGCGCCCCGGACAGCTCCAGACCACCCCAGAACAGGCCCGAGATGAGCCCAAGAGCGGGAGCAGGCCGCCAGAGACCTCTGAGAGGACTTCGGGACCCCCCAGAGGCTCCAAAACACCGTGCCACAGACCCCTGAGAGGCCCCCCCAAAAACGCCGACGAGGTCCTGAAAACAGCCCAAGAGAGCTTCGAGAGCCGTCTCGAGAGAGCCCGAAGAGGGTAAAAACGTTGATTTTCAGTGATTGTTGTAGACTTTTTCCGCCTTTCGCGTTTTCCAGCTTCCAACGCTCCAAGACCGAGGGATTTGAAAAAAAATGAGTTTCAGAGATTGCATTTTTCTTAAATTCAATAAATGCGCGCCCCTCCACCGGGGGGTCCCACACCTTCCCGGAACATCTGCGGAACGCTCCCAGTATACCGCGCTTTCCGACCTCCGAGGAGCCCCCAAAACACCCAAGGACAACCCAAGACGACCCCAAGAAGCCCCCAGAACGTCAAAGAAAGGCCCAAGACGCTCCCAAGCAACCCAGGATAGGTTTCCGGCGGCTCTCCAGGCTCCCAGGAGGCCTCCAAGAGACCTCAAGAGAGCTCCGAGAGGCCTCCCGAGAGCACCCGGAAAACTTAAAATCGTATATTATTTGTTTGTTTTTAGGGTTTTTGGCCTTCCAGTTCATGCTTCCAACGCTCCAAGACGGCCGAAGAGCCCCCCAAGACCGCCCCGAGACCGCCCAAGAGGCCCCCAAGATGGCCCCAGGACGGGCCAAGACGGCCCCAAGACTGCCGAAGAGGCGCCCCGGACAGCTCCAGACCACCCCAGAACAGGCCCGAGATGAGCCCAAGAGCGGGAGCAGGAGGCCGCCAGAGACCTCTGAGAGGACTCCGGGGCTCCCTAGAGGCCTCCAACACACCGCAGACCTTTGAGAGGGTCCCAAAAAATCCCCGACGAGGCCCCTAAAACAGCCCAAGAGAGCTTCGAAAGCCGTCCCGAGAGAGCCCGAAGAGGGTAAAATCGTTGCTTTCCAGTGGTTTTTGTCGACGCTTTTCGCCTTCTCACGTTATCCCGCTTCCAACGCTCCAAGACCGAGGAATTTTAAAAAGGGAATTCCAGAGATTCCTTTTTTTTCTAATTGGGACTCCTACCCCTATCCGCTGCCTCAGGCCCCATCAAGACTTCGTGGTCACATGCAAAAATGTTTCCGGAATGCTGTTGAACTCTTTGACGCTGTCTTGGCACTCATCGTCTTCGTGTCCTCTTGGCTGCCCCTGAAATCATTGTAGAAGTCGAGATCCCATGATCCCATCAGTTGAAGCAGTGGAATGTTATAATTCTTTTCATTGAACTCACCCCTGATTCATTTTTGCCCGAAGACCCCGAGAGACATCCCAACATACCGTGGCCTGCATGCAGAAAACGTCTAACTCACAGCCCAGGCACTACAACTTGAAAAAAGGGAAATCCCACCATTCCGTTTTGTTCCAAGTTCGCCCCCTGTCTTTTCTTGCACAGCAGACCACAATCGAGGCCCCAGAAAAGAACCCAGGAAGCCTACGAGGGCCCCAAATCGTTGATTACCTAACGGCAATTAATGATTTTTGCGTTTCTGCAGTTCCCCCTTCTATACGATTCCGAGGCTTGCGCGGGGCCTCTAAGAGAGTTCCTGGATGCAAGAAACGACAAGGATGATGTTCAATGTGTTCGCCCATGAAGCCTGGCTAGAACTTGAGCGCGCGCGAAGCGCGCGCGATGGTTCTAGTATACTATCCATATACATCACTATATATGATATATGTATGTATGTACGTATGTATATATATATGCATACATATACATACATATATATATATATGCAAGATCAGCACGCGTGCGCCGCACGGTATCACTTGACCCTGCCGGCGGGGACGGATCCGATTCAGCCGGCCTGCGATTATATGAATTCATGGTCAGGGCGGACGATCGTGAAGAGAAATTGTGCTGGTTGGCCTGGTGGGGATATGAGGTCAAGGGCAGCACTGATGAGATCAAGGTTCGAGGGGGGAAGGGGTAGGAGGGAGGAAGGGGGAGGAGGGGGAGAGGGGGGGGGCAAGAGCAGTAGGGGGAGGGGCGAGAGCAGGAGGAGGAGGAGGAGGAGGAGGAGGAGGAGGAGGAGGAGGAGGAGGAGGAGGAGGAGTAATGGGCCAGTAATGGGATGGGCAGGGGAGTGGAGCAATAGCAGGAGGAGCAAGAGCAGGCGGAGCGCGCGCGGAACTTGCTCGACTCCATCGACCGGGCTAAGGTCTTGCGCGCCGTCGGCTGTGACGACAGGCTCCTCGGAGCCCCCAGTTGTCACCCCTCACCCCCTCCCACTGCTGCCCCCTGCTTCATCCCCTAGTTTACGATTATTCCTTTCCCTTCTACCATCCCCCATCTTTCGTCTTTTACCATCCCATTCCTTTTTGCGCTCCACCCGCCTCAGGCTGGCCATGAGTCAGGGAGGTAGGCCGAATGCGCCAATCAGATGGCAGCCGGCACAATGTGATCATCATTATCTCATGTCCAGGGGCTGAGGATGGGAGGAATCAGGAATCAAGCATGATATGACCAGCTGGCCGCTTCTGCGGTTGATTGGGAGTTCTTGTACCTATAGAACAAAGGCGTGCGCCTTTGCCGTGACGCCGTGGTGGAGATTACACTTGGGATGATCGATGCAGCGGCCGATTTGACAGGAGGAGGAGGAGGAGGAGGAGGAGGAGGAGGGGGAGGAGGGAAGGAGGGAAGGAGAGGGAGGAGGGAAGGAGAAAAGGAGGGGGAGGAGGGAAGGAGGGAAGGAGGAGGAGGAGGGAAGGAGGAGGAGGAGGAGGAGGAGGAGGAGGAGGAGGAGGAGCAGCAGGAGAAGCAGGAGGTGCAGGAGGAGCGACCTCGTTTGCGAAACCACCGGCTCGGGACTCGTCTCCGCCTGCCGGCCTCGCCCGCCCGGCCGAGAGCCCGGGCACGGCGCCGAAGTGTGCGCGAGCGGGACAGGAGGTGCGCGGCCGGGGTTCGCTGCCCCGGCCCCAGTCTGGGCTTCGCAAGTCGGCACGAACCGTACAATGATGCTGTCCAGTCGGCTCCGCAAGTCGGCACGAACAGTACATGGAAGTCGGCCAGTTCGCTGCCCTGGCTCCAGCCTGGCGCCCAGCTTTGTGCCTGGTACAGAAAGAATGGGTTCAGTGCCCAACAGCAGGTCCTGCTCATTTCGAAGAGGACTCGCTGTTCGCGCCGCCGGGCCCGTGTCCATTTGAGACAGGAGGCCGCCTGCCCAACAGCGGCCGCTGTTGGTTTGGGGCAACATTGGTTGTTGGGCATTGCACCCATCTTTTCCGTACCCATTTCGGGAGGGGGCAGCTGCTCCACATCGTTTCCGTTTTTCTTCCAGCCAGTAATCGTTCTCGGGCGTTCTCTTTGGTATGTTGACCCGCCTCCACCTCCACCTCAACCCCACCTCTCCCGCGCTCTGGAGGCAGACTGGGCCACAGGCTGTGAAGACGCAGCCTTCCGCCATCTGCGCCACAGACGCCGAGCCTGCGCAGGCGCGCTTGATCGTCGTCGTTTTTTTTTCAATCGTCGTAGTACCCCTCTTCTTTTGCTGCCGTGCCTGCTCTTTCCTTCCCCCCGCCCCTCCTGCTCTTCCGTTCCACCTCCCATACGGGAGCCTGGCAGCAGCGAGATGGGCAAGCACACCCTTCGTGTGGCAAGTCGAATGTCTCCGAGTATTCATGGAAGGACCATGAGTTGCTAAGGGAGGGTCGCTGGTGGCCACAATGCTCCCGCCTCCGTTGGCTGGAGACGACGTGTCTTGCGGCGTTCAGCGCGTATTGCGAGTTCGTGCATACGCGCTTGCATTTTGCATTGTGCGCGCTCGCACGCGCACATGTGTGTATCTTGGAAGTTGTGCACTCCGCACTCGCTGCGCGATGTCCCCGGCACATGTGCAGACACAAATGTACATAGCTTCTACTTCTGGTGTTCTGAATTTGGCAGACGACGTCTGGGATTCACGCAGTCGAGACGTCAACGGAACAGATACACTCGTATGATAAGTATTGCATGTTGGGTTTCGTGGCAGGTGCGGGACAGACCAAGTCGCCGTGATACATCCATGTTGAAGTTTGTGTCGAACAACCTCAGTACGCGTGCTCTTGGAGGTGGCGCGAACTTCCATGAGCGCAGCGTAAGTCCAGATCTTTCGGAATGGCCTTGCACCTGGCTGACCACCATGACCTCGACCAGTGCCCCGACTATTATAGCATTAGCGCCTGCCCACCCTTTAAGCAGCGTGGAGGAGTTCGATCAAAGAGGGGGGGTATGAAGTTAGGCTCCCACCTACCCACCCCAGGAGGCCTTCTCGCTGAGGCCTTCTTGGACGCTCCACTGGGTCGCGACCCCCCCTCCAGGCCCAGGGGGTACGGGGGAGGGGGAGCGGTCAAGACTCCCTCCCCGCCCGCAAGCCGTGACTCCCACTGGCCCTCCCAACACATACGCAGCACCCGAGCCTGGCCCGAGCCACAGCATATTCAGCAGTGGTCTTTGGATGGGCAGCTACTGGGGGCGAATCCGCCGCCGCCGCCGCCGCCGCCGCCTCCGCCGCCGCCGCCGCCGCGCGCCGCCGCCGCCGCGCCGCCGCCGCCGCCGCCGCCGCTGTCCGCCGCCGCCGCCGCCACCGCGCCGCCCGCCGCCGCCGCCGCTGCCGCCCCCGCTGCCGAATCGCCGCCGCCGCAGCCGCTGCCGCCGCAGCCGCTGCCGCCACCGCTGCCGCCGTCGCCGCCGCCGCCACCGCCGCCGCCGCCGCCGCCCCTGCCGCCGCCGCCGCCACCGCCGCCGCCACCGCCGCAGCCGCCGCAGCCGCTGCCCCCGCCGCAGCCGCCGCAGCCGCCTCCGCCGCCAAGTGTATTCTGCCTTGTTTTGTCGACAGGGAAGGCAGGGGGAGGCTGCATCGGGTTCGCTGCGCATGCTCCGAATTTGGAGGCAGAGTGTATGTTCGTATCGTTTTTTTCAAGGGGTGGTGGGAGGGGGGGCCCTCATTGGCTCGGGTTGGCTCCCAGTCGCCTGGGGGAGGGGGTGTATATTAATAGGGAACAGTGACAAACCCCTCCCCGAAGGGGAAGAAGGGGCTTGGGAGTTGAAATTCGCATACAGGGCTGCTTCTCAGCGTTTCCCATCGCTTTCTGGATGAGCCGGGGCGCGCATGTGCCGCCTGTTTACGTGCCCGCCATGCGGGGCAGAGGGGCGGCCCGCCGTACGCCCTGATGTCTTCGTGGCCATCCTGCTGCCCGCACCCCTCGCAGCCTCCACGCCCCGACGTCTTCTGGGGAGAGGGGCACCGAGCATGATGGCGGTGGAGATCGGAGAAGAGCGTCGACTACTGATGATGGCAGTAAGGAGGAGCAGGAACAGGAGGAGGTGGAGGAGGAGGAGGAGGAGGAGGAGGAGACCTCCGTAGCCATTTTGGCTCAAGGGTCCTGGCCCTGACCCCATTCTGGAAGACAGTCCAGCATTTTGTCTATCGTACCAGGGCAGACCCCAGGCGCGCACCAGCTCACTGTACTTTCTTTGCTGGTGCCGCGAAGGCATATTTCCTTTCCTTTCAGTCACGGCTACCGAGCCGAGTTGGCATCGCCGAGCACGTGCCCACCGAGCCAGGGCACGACTGCTATTGCGACTACATCAGGCTGCCCGCCTACTCGGAGCTCATCATTCTGCGAATATGGCTTTCCATCGGCCTCACCGCATCCACAAGGAATCGGGGCCTGGAGTTGAATGGACGTGCATACCTTGCGGCCGTTACGTCAAGTCACATCATTGGCGCTGTCTGTGCGGCACATATTATACATATAATTGCAAGCTGGCTGCCCAGAGTGGCCAAGGAGGCTCGCGCCATCGAGATGACAGGGCCCAATCTCATCCTAGGCGCCAAGCTTCGCGGCCACGACAAGCTCCACCGAAGGATGGGAATCACAAAGCAGTGAAGGCCATAGTATTTCAAGCTGTTGCTATCTCCAGAGCTGATATGATATCGAATCCAGAGGCCTCCAAGTTCTATCAAGAACCACCGTGCGAGGCACAGGATCTGAAAAAGTTCAAGCGCGAGAATTACATGCAGATGCCCAAGATTGGCAGACTTATTTTCGCTGCCCAACAAGCTGGACACGACCCCAAGGAGGCATTGCTCCAGCTATCCGTGCTCAAGCTCATGCAATCCTCTACGGATTCCCTCACGAAGCAGATCAACCAGCTCAACATAAGGAAGGACTCCTTAATTGACAAAATCAGGAACACACGAGACAAGATCGCCGTCTTGGTTGAAGAAGAAAAACATCTCGAAGCATCCCTGGACAAAGTCAAGCAGAACATCACGGAGATCGAGGACATCATATCGGCCAATGAGTTTGACGACATGGATGAGGATTGGCCATCGGGGACAACACCCCATGAACACCAGTCACCTCGCCAGCGGCTTCATCCTGCAGGAGCTGCTTCTCCGGCCGCGGCCCCTACGACGATGCCCGCCAGTTCGTCAGGAGGAGGAGCTCATGGACATATTCCGCCACCACCGCCGTTGGCACCTCCCCCAGTGGCCCAGCATAACATTGATTCCCTGTGCGCAGGCATGTATCAGATCATGAATCAGCTGACGGTCCAAGCTCAACACCAAGCCGTACAAGATGCCAAGCTTCAGCAGCTGGCCAATGACATGGGGTTTATCAAAGGGGGCCAGCCTTCGGTGGCGAGAGCTGCAACCCCCGAGGCATCACACCGGCACATCGAACAGCCAGTGCCGAAGACGCCACCAAGACCTGCAGGAACAAGGATGGAACCAACCTCTCCATTTCCGCCGACCCAGAGGACACCGTGGACCCCGACACCAAAGGCGGAATCACCTACACAAGCATCGGCAGGGATGACAGACGAAACTATCAAGATCGAGGAAGAACAGGATACTCCGACGGTCGACGAGGCACTGCTGCTGCCAACACAACCAGTGGAGTCCATTGTCGAGGACCCCTACGTGCAGGCGCCCTCCCAGAGCATGACCGAGAAGGCTGGGTCGCCAGGTGCCAGCCCGCCTCGCAAGCAGGCAAGACACATGTGAGCAGTAGCCTCTCAGCGAAGCGAGTTCACTGGGGATCGTGTGAGCTTGCATTTTATAGAATAGGGACACTGCCAGTCGTTCATCCTCCCTCTCCTCATCAGTACCCTGTCAGACCCATTCTTGCCTCTGCACCCTCCCGTACTTCCGCCTCCTGCAGTATATGCACATGCCTGAGCATTGAGACTAGGGAAGAAGTCTCAACTGCCTGGCCTACTTACGCGGCTGCCGTCACTGCAGCCCAAGAGTTTTCGGACACGTTGTATGAACATTTTGCTGAAGCCACAATTTGTACCACGTACATGTATGAGCAGTGCCCTTGGACCTTCAAGAGCAGGTGGAATTTTCTAGGACAGGTACTCTCTGGCTTCAGCAACCAGTATTTTGAATCACTAGAAGTACCTCCGACCGACTGGGAAATCCAGCTGGCCAGAGGCGCTTGGGCAGTCGTCTGTGCAACGCCGACCAGGCCGGGAACAGACAGACCACTCAGCTCGGGGTGTGCAGCTGACGCGCGCCACAATACTTTTGCACGGAAGTATTTTACAGGTAATACATCCAGAGGGGAGGTTGAGTTGGGTGGGGCCTCAACCTCATGTGGCTCCCAGGCTGTGGGTATCCATACTGGTAGCAGCCAGCACGCTCCGCGTGCCACGCAGCGCAACCCATCAGAGGCGCTCATACAGCGGTTCTTCCTCTTCCTACACTCTTTCTTCATTTCGTGCAACTCGGATGTTAACCTTTCCATCCCCTCTCCCACTCCTAATATTAGAGTGTGTACTTGCTTCCCTGTTCAAGTTCTCGATGCGCACATCCATTGGGATGCTTTGTGCAACATTTTCTTTGCTTTTCCTTTGAGCAACAGTCAGGTGTCCTCCTCCTCCTCCAACACCGACACCCTTGGGGGACCCCACTGGTTTGATTGCTCTGGAGGGCCTAGAGATGTGGCCAACCCTTGCCCGAGGGATCATCACCAGGCAGGTTTGGGAGATGCCCGAGGTAGTGCTCAACTTGTTGGCCCTCCATTGACCCTGGGGTTACCACTTGAGGACCTCCCTGAGGTTTCCAGAATGGCCGTTGAGATGGCCCCCTTTTGTGGTGATGAGCCTAGCAGGATCTGTATTTTCACTGGCGGCTCTGTGCGCCCCAAGAGCCCCCTAGTTGCCTCTTGGGCCTTAGTGGTTGTTCACGAGCTCCCCGACGGAAACACGTTTAGTTATCAAGGATGGTGGTCAGCAGACTTAGCTAGCTCCTGCAGGACAGCCACTTACACGGACTTGGCCAGTAGTACCGAGAGTGAATACATTGGAATACGCTGGGCATGTGTTTATCTTCTCTCACATCCGTCATCTGTGCCTGCCTTGATTCGCACAGACTCACTCAACGTTGTACGTGCCATTTCTGGCCTCTCCGCCCCCCCATCTCAGATCGCATTGGGAGGCT